GCCCAGTCCCTGAGTTCAAGCCCCAGGACTGGCCAAAAAAAAAAAAAAAAGAAAAAAGAAAAAAATATATATTATGGATTTAAGAGTACATATAAATAAGAGAAAGAAATAGATTTACACAAAATACATGCAAGAATATTCATAATTAATATTAATATTCTTAGTTAATATATACAGTTAATATAGTTACTATATCCTGAAAAATGAACATAGGTACTCCCATAAACATGAAAAAATTAAAAATTCAGGAATACAAGCATTAGAAAACCATTCTAAAACTACATATTAAAAGTTATTTATCAGAGTGATAAGATGTCTAAATATGTACAATATTCTGCATAAGATCTGCATTATCATTTCTTTAAAATCTTTTTCTAGTCTCATTCTAATCCAATGAAATAATTAGTTGATATAATAAATTACTTTTCTCCAGTAATGTACAAAAAATTATATTTAGAAGTTTGGTTTTGATTAGGAAGATACAACAAGGCAATTCCTCAAACATTTCTCTTACCCGAAACAGCCACTTTAACACAGGTACAGGACACTGGACATAATGGTAGGCAGAGGTAAGGAACCCCTGTGTTGTCAAAAAAATCTGATCTGTTTTTCCAGATCTGAAAAAGTAAAAGTAAAATCAATGACTGTCACCCTCATGGTAAAATTCTTCTACCACCACTACCACCACCACCACATCTGACACAATAAGAGTTAAGAAAATTATCCTCAGTCTATGGAGGTGGATTCTATACTAAGATGAGTGGGTTATTCATTAAAAAATCCAACTGGTGTAGCCACGTGCTGGTGGCTCACACCTATAATTCTAGACACTCAGGAGGCTAAGAGCTGATGATCGTAGTCAGCCCAGGAGTAAAGTCCCCATGAGACTCTTGTCTCCAATAAACCACCTAACACCTAGAAGTGGTGCTGTGGCTCAAGTAGTAGAACACTAGCTTTGAGTACAAAGAGGCTCAGGGATAGTGCCCAGACCCTGAGTTCAAGCCCCACAACCACAAAACAAAACAAAAACCCAACCAAACAAACGAAAAAACAAACAAAAACAAAAAAGAAAAAAATTCAATTGGTGGTCTAAAGCTGATTCAGCCTTTTAACTGGGGTCCACATGTATCTGAGGGACAAAGCTACACTGTTGGACAGGGCTGAAAGTTTAAGTCTCAAGATATCTGCTTATGCCACTTAGGGGACATACTTGAAAAAAACTCAGCATCAAAATTAATGATCTTTCTAGACTGGAGGAGCTATTGAGAGAAATCATACTAGGTTGGCCTGGAGATAGATTACTAGTTGTCTATCTCAACATTTAATTTTGCTTTTCTCAAGGCAACCAAACTGATTTTTATTTGGGCTAACTAAAACAAACATCATTTCTCAGCCTCTTTTTTTTTTCTTCTCTCAGTTTGATATGTGGCTGCACTGACTAAATTCTATCCAACTAACCTTAAGCAGAAATGTTATGTAGAGGGGCTGGGAAGGTGGCTCAGTGGTAGAGTGCTTGCCTTGTATGCATGAGTCCCTGGGTTCGATTCCTCAGCACCACATAAGCAAAAAGAAAAAAGCTGGAAGTGGTGCTGTGGCTCAAGTGGTAGAGCGCTAGCCTTGAGCTGAAGAGCTGAGGGACAGCACCCAGGCCCAGAGTTCAGGACCCACAACCGGAACCAAAAAAAAAAAAAAAAATGTTATGTGGACTTTCTGGGAATTTAAACATGAAATTTAGTACTTCATTTGTACCTGAAGCACTAGGTGCTAAAAATGGTAGAGAAGAAATAGAAAAGATGAAAACACTCCTAGATTTAAAACACTCCTAGACTTACTTCTTTATTTCTATCACTTAAATAATAAGTATATTACTTTTTTTCTTTTTTTTGGTCAGTTGTGGGGCTTGAACTCAGGGCCTGGGCGCTGTCCTTGGGCCTCTTTGTGCTCAGGGCTAGCCCTGTACCACTTGAGGCACAGCCTCATTTCTGGTTTTTGAGTGGTTAACTGGAGATCAGAGTCTCACTGGGACTTTTCTGCCTGAGCTGGCTTCAAACTGCAATCCTATCTTAGCCTCCTGAGTAGTAAGAATTACAGGCGTGAGCCATCAGCAACCAGTTATAAATGTATTTTTAAGCTCATCCTGGGGATTTTTGTTTCTTTCTTTCTTTTTTTTTGGTTGGTCGTGGGGCTTGAACTCTGGGCTTGGGCACTGTCCCTGCACTCTTCAGCTCAAGGCAAGTGCTCTACTACTTGAGCCACAGCCCCACTTCTGGTTTTCTAGTGGTTTATTGGAAATAAGAGTCTGGGGGGAGGTGCGGGGGCTTGGAAGTTGGCTCAGTGGTAGAGCGCTTGCCTTGCATGCCTGAGGCCCTGGGTTTAGATTCCTCAGCACCACATAAGCAAAAAGAAAAAAAGCCAGAAGTGGTACTGTGGCTCAAGTGGTAGAGCGCTAGCTTTGAGCTGAATAGCAGAGGGACAGCGCCCAGGCCCAGAGTTCAGGCCCCACGACTGGAAACCCCCCTCCCCCCAAAAAAAGTCTCACGGACTTTCCTGCCTGGGCTGGCTTTGAACTGTGATCCTCAGATGTTAGCCTCCAGAGTAGCTAGGATTATAGTCGTAAGTCACCTGGCTGAATATTTGTTTCTTTTGAGACAATGTCTTATTCCTTGTTCCCTTTTGGTACCAGGCTGGTACCAAATCCACGGATTGAGGTTTTAAAGAGTCCAGCTAAGGAAGTACATAAAATTCTTATCTCTAATTAACCAGCAAAAAGCCAAAAGTGGACTAAGTTGTGGATCAAGTGTAGCCTTGACCAAAAGAGCTAAGGGACAGTGCAGAGGCCAAGTTTAAGGCCCAGTTCTGGAGTAAAAAAAGAATATACAAAGACTAACAGCAATAAAAGCACTAAGAAATGATATAGGTCACGATTCAAGTTAGAAGATTTTAGATTACATTTGTCAAAATTTTTTTAGTTGTTTTTTATATAGTGAAAAGCAAAATGTCTATTTTTTACTTACTTGAGAATAAGCTTTTCTACAGCACTTTGTCCAATAAAACCAGAGTCCCTTAAATCCAAGGTATACTGATTGAAAATTTTTCCAGAATTTAGGAAATTAAATATTTCTTCGCCAGGATGATGATCAGGAATAGCATCAATTGTAACAGAAAATTTTTTTAGAAATTCCCTGAAATACAAAAAGTTATTAAATACTAAGTAGTTAAACTGCATACGTTTTTGTACTAAAAAGATGGGAGCAGGAAAAACTTTACATTCTGCTAATTGTCAAGAATCACTAAATGTGTCTGTATGAAAAGAAACTATAACCAGGAGAAAAGATGTAACTTCAACCTACCATTTCCTGCTCGACAAACCCCAGGTACATTACTCACTATGCAAACTGCCAGCAATGGCTCAATTATTTTACAAAAATGAAAACTACAAAATGTAAACCTTAAATGGTATATGTTGTATGTGTATATGCATACATGAGAACATATGAAAAGTGATATACCTGTGTTCTTCCAAGAGGCCATCTTCATCATCTGTACTATCTTGATCACCAAGTCTGATTGGAGATTTAATGCCTCGGCCCTGCCTTATATCTTCCTGTAGTTGCTTCTGTAGTTCATCTAGCCTGAGATTCGAAAGAATGCCATAATAGTTTATTATTAAAATTAAAAAACAAAGCTTTAGTTGATATTTAAAAGCAGCACCGAGAAAAAAATCATTAAGTATCCTGCTATATTAAAAATTTGTTACACCATAGGTCTAATCATATGTCCAAATAAATATTATGATGTTTACCAAAACAAAGAAAGTTTACTCTGGGTAATAGGCTTTTGTCTAGCTATCAATATAGTATTAGAATAGTGTTCCATTGCATACAAGACTCAAGTATTTCTTTATAACTAGGACTTCAAGAATGACTTGTCCAAATCATCCAGAGTGTGAACAGAAAAGCAGCAAAACAACACCGATTTGATTTTTCACTGTGTGTGTGAAAGCTCTAGTGCTAGAGCTTGAATTTAATGCCTCATAATCCTGACTCCACTCATTTGCTCACAACTGTTTTTCTACCTCTTGAGCCACCGCTCCAGTTGAACTATTTTGTTGGTTAATTGGAGATAAGAGTCTTGAGGACTATTCTGCCCAGGCTGACTCCAAACCATGTCCCTCAGATGTCAGCTTCCTGAGTAGCTAGGAATAAGGGCATGAGCCACCAGTGCCTAGCAGCAATACTTGATTTTAAATAAGCCTTTTCAGATTTTATGTTCCAGATCCGATGAATTAACAAAACACTGTATTATTTTTTTACAAGAGAGGTAACTTCCCTAAATTCAGAGCAAGAAAAATTATTTTTAGCCTAAGGCTCTGCAAAAATCTCTACAGCTACTTGTTTATGAAGTTTGGGCTACATATGTGTGTGTGTGTGTGTGTGTGTGTGTGTGTGTATGTGTATATATATGTATGTATATATATGTATACATATATGTGTATATATGTATGTATGTGTATATATATGTATGTGTATATATATATATATATATATATATATTTGCCACCTTCTATGTAATCAAGTCAAGTAAACTTTACCTCAACTTATTTATTTTTGGTAGTAATGGGGTTTGAGCTCAGGGCCTAATATTTGTTTTAGGCAAGTGCTTTACCACTTAAGCCGTCCCAATACCCATAAATCACATAAACTTTTCTTTGCTAGTTTCATGGATATTTCTTGAATTGATAAGGAATGCACTTCCCTTCTTATTAGCAAAAATGGTCTGCAATTAATCACATAATTATTTTTGTCAGTCGTGGGGCTTGAACTCGGGGCCTGGGCACTGTCCCTCAGCTCTTCAGCTCAAGGTTAGCGCTCTACTACTTGAGCCACAGCACCACTTCCGGTTTTCTGGTGGTTTATTGGAGATAAGAGTTTCACGGACTTTCCTGCCTGGGCTGGCTTTGAACCGTGATCCTCAGATCTCAGCCTTCTGAGTAGCTAGGATTACAGGCATGAGCCACCAGTCCCCGGCTCACATAAACTTTTTTGTGTGTCCTGGTCCTGGGGCTTGAACTCAGAGGCCTGGGTGCTGTCCCTCAGATTTTTTTTGCTCAAGGCTAGTACTCTACCACTTAAGCCTCAGTTTCATTTCTGGCTTTTTTTGGCTGGGGAGGGAAGGTAGTTAATTGGAGTTAAGTTTCATGGTCTTTCCTGCCTGGGCTGGTTTCAAACTGAAATTCTCAGATCTCAGCCTCCTGAGTAACTAAGATATTATCCACCAGTGCCCAGCCCTGTGAGATTGATTATAGGGAGATCCAAAACTGCATTTGAATTAGAAAATCACTGTCAGATGAAAAAAAAATGAATAAAAAGGTCTGTTGTGTTTAGTAAAAAATAAAAAATTTTGGCCAGGTGCCTGTGATATAACAGAAGTGGCCATTTATAGTTGAATAAACAAAATGTGGTATACACATAAAACAATGGAATAGTAAACTTTAAAAGGGAAGAAAATTCTGAAACAGCCTTTCCCATGAGTAAAAAAATGAAGACATTATACTATGTGAAATAAACCAGTCATAAAAGGACAAATATGATATGCTCTTACTGATATACGTAGTGCCTAGATTAGTCAATTTCATAGAAACACAAAGTTGCCAAAAGCAGGAAGGAAGAATGGGGAGTTATTGTTTAAAGGATAAGGAATACGGGATAATGAAGAAGTTCTAGAGGTATATGGGGGTGATGGAAGCATGTCAATGTACTGAATTTAGCTTACACTTAACATATATTCTACCCCTGATTCTGATCAAGAATTTCAGTTACTGGATACTAGTTTTGGTAAACACAGAAGAAACTTACATGATTAATGCAAAACACAGAATACTATAAAAAAAAATCTGGGGCTTTGGGTCCAGCTTATAAACAAGAGCATACAACTGACAACTATTTTAACAGTACTAACATAAAATACATACTAATTTTTTATGATTTTCTCATTTTTTAGCATATTTCATGAATTTTAAAATGTACATTAAAAGCCAGCCAAAGAAACGAGCAGTATGTTAAAAATTTAGTAAATTAATCATAATGCTAACTAACCTTTGTGTATCTTCCATTTCCTTCACAAGACGCTCTAAAGTATTTGTGTAAGTTCCACTATGAACATGTTCCTAAAACAAGAAAATTTAAAAATAATTTGTAACAAAATCTTAGAAGAATTGAGATGTGTTTTAAGTTATTCAGAGTGCTAAAGACTATCTTCTATTTCAATAACCTGGGCCAAGATACACATTTTTTAAAGGAGAATTTTCACCATCATGCTTTAAATCTAGTATTTTGTACTGCAGGCAATTTGATTTTACTATTAGGAAAGACACTACTTACAAAACCCTGCTAGCCTTATAATTTGACTGCAAATACCCAAGGACTCTGTGGCTACCCTATCTTAAATCCTAAATTCTATGTCAGTGGAATAAAACTATCAATTCCTAGGTGTTACTATGAAGAGTAACACCCTCCCCACCAAATTTAAAGACACCTTAGAATTTAGCTTACTCCCAAGATAGAATGAAGCACTTTATAAATAAAATTGCACACCACAATTAACAACATTTCTACACTCTACCTTCATTTACAGCAGTGGTCTCCAAAGCAGGGGGTGTGCAAGGTGATCCATTGGGGTGCAGGAAGAAAATAATAGAACTTCTATTTATATGGAACGTCTATAGAAACTCCAGTAGAACTTAGTCTATAGTAACTTCTACATAACTCTATAGAAAATATTCATATATATTTCCTTTTCCTTTAAAATTTTGTTTTTGCATATACTTTAGAAAGTAAACAGTATTATATTGGTACATGTATATAATCTATAAGTATACATATATATTGGGTACATGCTCAAAAATTTTTTACTAAAAAAAAGTGTGATCAAGAAAGTTTGGAGACCACTGATTTACAGTAATAAAACTAGAGATAAGGGAAAGTCATTACCAAGTAAAAATTATATCAGATTCACTCTAATAATGAGTTGTAGTAAATGATAAATTTAAAAATAAATTTTAACTCATCCTTTCACTAATGAATCCATTTTTTTTAACTCTACAAGTAACAAAAAAGAAGCCATAAAATGTCTTACTATATAGTCTGATGACTGAGATCTAAGCCCCTTGGGAAGAGGAGGCTTTTCTGAAGTTGTAGGAGTCTGATTGAAGTTCAAAGCCATTATTTCTTCCAGTGATTTTAATGTTTCCTCTTCCTCATCACTATCTAGATTGTAACCTAAACTTTCTTCATCACTATCAAAATCACCCCTGAATTTTCTTTTCTGTGCACTGCTACCTGCATTGATATTTCCTGAACTGTCTTTATCTGACGGGGCTGTAACTGAAGGTATTGTAGGGCCTGAGACACATGGCACAACTTCCAAAGCAGCTGGGGGAGACTTTGCTGGAGTGCTATATTCTGAATGCAAAGATCCCCCAGAAATTTTCCCTGAAGACATGTTAGAGTCAGCCTTATTAGTCTTTTCTTTGTGCTCCTTGTGTTTGGATGATTCTGTAGAATGCCCAGAACATTCTTTAGATGAGGAGCGATCTTTCTCTTTTTTGGGAACTTGAGTGCAATTTTTAGCATCTAATGGGACTCGAGAGGAACCAGCATTTGGAACATGAGAAAGTAAAGGTAGAAATTTTGTCTCTTCTTTTGATGTCAGAGAGCTAGCAGTTTTAGTCTTCTGAAGGTTGCTAGATTTTTTCATGGTAGATTTTTCCTGAGGTAAAGGTAAGTGGGGTTTCTGTATCTTAGTCTCTTTGGTACTTGTCACACGATTTTGGTCACTATTCCTAGAAGAATGGTGGCCAGAATTTGAAGGTGCCAAGTTTGCAGAAGAGCGATCAGTTTCATCACTGGGTTCCTTTGATATATCTTCCAAGCGTAGCACATCACCAGGTTCCTTCAATGCAATAGATCTTACAAATGTTTTTGAATGTCTGTCAGGACGCTTCTCAAGGAAGGACTCTTTTGCCTTAGGTATTGTAGATTCTCTTGTGCTTTTCAGATCTGAGTCCACAGAGTTCCTTTTTCTTTTGTCAGAAAATTTATTCTGCTTAGAGCCTGCTAAAATTTAATTTTTGTCAGATTAGTGAAAAGTATACTGTCCTTTATGAGAAATGCTTAAATTCTAATAGCTTAGGCTGATACTTTTTGTTATATATGGAATAAACAAAGACAATACTGTCATTTATCAAATGATGAGTTGTAGCACTCAAGAAATTTAAAGCTACTGATAAACATGCATTTTCTTTCCAAAGCTAACATAAGCACCGGTGGCTCACACCTGTAATCCTAGCTCTTCAGGAGGCTGAGATCTGAGGATCGTGTTTCAAAGCCAGCCCAGGCAGGAAAGTCCGTGAAACTCTTACCACCAGAAAACTGGAAGTGGTGCTGTAGCTCAAGTGGTAGAACACTAGCCTTGAGCTGAAGAGCTGAGGGACAGCGCTCAGGCCCAGAGTTCAAGGCCCACAACTGACAAAAAAACCCAAAAAATCTCTTAACACATTAACAAATGTATATTCATATCAATGAAAAGATCCAAAAGGTATTTCACCTTCAAGTATTTTTTCTACTTTGTGCCAGTCCTAGGACTTGAATGTAAGGCCTGTGAGTTGTCCCTGGGTTTCTGTGCTCAAGACTAGTGCTCTACCACTTGAGGTCCACTTCTAGAGGATTACCTTGTCCCTGAAATTTAATCCTTCTACATCTAAAAGTATAGTATTACTTCTGTATATAAGAAAAGTAGGGCTGGGAAGGTGGCTCAGTGGTAGAGCGCTTGCCTTGCATGCATGAGGCCCTGGGTTCGATTCCTCAGCACCACATAAGCAAAAAGAAAAAAGCCGGAAGTGGCGCGCTGTGGCTCAAGTGGTAGAGCGCTAGCCTTGAGCTGAAGAGCTGAGGGACAGCGCCCAGGCCCAGAGTTCAGGCCCTAAGACCGGGGCTCCCCTCTCCCCCCCAAAAAAGATACAGCATTTGGGAGCATTCAAAGCTCAAAGGTAGAGCATGTGCTTATGCACTAGGTGTCTGGGTACCAGGAGTTCAATCCTTAGAACAAAAACAGGTATATTTGGGAAGGCAGTGATAATTTACAAATGATTAAGAGAAAGAGAAGACTTGGAGTAGTTATATTATGATCTTAGTTTTAATATGGAGTTACAAAGAAAACTCCAGAGATGATGATTTGAGTTTTATTCCAATTTTCTACAGAAGCCAGATTATTTATGTACAGCTGTAGTATGAGAAATTTCTGCTTTGCTCAGGAATTATTCAGGATGAATTTAGGACATAAAAGTTATTATAGAATAGCTTTAAAATAAGTTAGCTTATTAAGAGCCATTACTGATTTTTTGGTTTTTTTTTCTTCCAAATAAGAGTCTAGAATATACTATCCTTCTACTTTCAAATTCCAAGATCTGGGATTTCAGACATGTACCACCATGCCCCGGAAGAACTTTTAAACTTTTAATATCTAGGCTAAATGTGGTATAATCCCAGCATAGTCAGAGGGAGGAGGGGTATCCATTTTGAGGCCTGCCCAGACTAACAGTGAATTTGTCTCAACAACAACAAACAAAAACTGATGACTGAAACAGTTCATCTTTATATAAAGCATCTTTAATATAATACCAAGAACTATGTCCACAATTCTAAGAATGTAGGATTATTTTTCTTTTTCACTGTGTCTTACTATGTAGCTAGACAGGACTTAAATTTAAAATCTTCATCCCTTCATCTGCTGAGTGCTGGGATTACAGGCTTATGTAGTATGCCTGGTGCTAAACTCATGCTTCTTGATATAGCCAAGGAGCCAAGGATTCAAAAGTAAAACATGAGAATCACATTGTTAAGAATTTTGTTGTTGTTATTGTTGATCATGGGGCTTGAATTCTGGGCCTGGGCACTGTGCCTCATCTTTTCAGCTCAAGGCTAGCGCTCTACCACTTGAACCACAGCACCACTTCCGGCTTTTTCTGTTTATGTGGTGCTGAGGAATCGAACCCAGGACCTCACGCATGGGTGGCAAGCATTATACCACTGAGCCACCTTCCTAGCCCTGTTAAGAATTCTTGAAGGAAGGAAGTGGCACTGTGGCTCAAGTGGTAGAGTACTAGTCTTGAGCTGAGAGCTCCCAGACAGTGCAGAAGCCCGGAGTTCAAGCCCCACAACCAACCAAAAAAAAAAAAAAAGAATTCTTGAAGGAAACAAAAAAAATCTTGAAGAAAGCAGAGAGATGGCAAGACAAACCAGATTATGCATACTAAATTCAAGCATTGGGTTTTTTTGTGTATGCTAGTTAGTTAATACCAATGCTTAAATTTAGAGCCTCCTATTCTTGCTTGGCTTTCTTCTTCATCGCTGCCATTACCACTTGAGTCATAACTCCAGCCTTGCTTTTTGTTACTTTTTTAGAGATGGAATCTCTTGAACTTTTTTGCCTGAGCTGGGTTTGAATCTATCTCCTGATCTCAATCTTCTCAGTAGCTAGGATTATAGGGGTTAGTTACTAGCACCTGGCTTAAGCACTTTTTTTTTTTTTTTGAGACAGTGATTCATCACACCTGACTCTAAGGACTTTTTTTTTTTTAAATGTTGTCAGTCATGAGGATTAAACTTGGGGCCTGGTGCTACCCCTGAGCATTTTCACTCTGCCACTTTGGGCCAGTGCCACTTCAGGTTTTTTGGTGGTTATTTGGAGATGAGTCTCATGAATGTTCCTGCCTGAGCTGGCTTTAAACTGTGATTCTCAGACCTCAGCCTGAGTAGCTAGGATTGTAGGTGTGAGCCTCCAGTGCCTGGCATTTTTTTTTTTAAAGGACCATCTTTTTAAAATCATTTTGCTGACGTCTGAATCACAATTAAGAGGTAAATTAAGGTGACACAATTCACCTGTAGAAGGGGAGCTGTATATCTGCACAAATTTATTTTTAAAAGCAGTGTCATTAAGATGCAAATTTAGCCTATAATCTTAGCAGTCCCAGACAGAGGTGAGTGCAAGTCTAGCTCGGCTAGACTGGGAGCTCCTGTCTCAAAAAAGAAAAACAATAAAACATGCAAACTTATTTAAGGGTTCATAAATTAAATTTTGACTCTACCTGAAGTAGGTTCCCATGAATCAGAAGAGGATCTTTTTCTTGAGGGATGTCCATTTTCCTATCCGGAAAAGGAGAAAAGATTAAGAATTTTGGGCAAAAGTGAACTTTTCTTTGTAATATTGAAATACAGATCTCTTGACTGAAATAAGCAAGTCTATATTTAGAGGTAAAACTTAAGTTCTAAAATAAGTTTTTTGGTTTTTTTTTAAACTGTATCTGACTATGTATTCCAGCCAGGACTTGCTGGTAATAATGATGGATTACAAGTGTGCACCACCACAAATAGCTTAGCATTGTACTTCCTTGACATCTGACCTTCCTTCATTAGCTCCCTAAGGAGAGAAGTAAAAATACTTCAAAATTAACAATTTCTCTCACTAGGGGAGAAATTTTTTTTTTTCTGCTCCTGAGGCTTGAACTCAGGGCTTAGATGTTGTTCCTGAGCTTCTTAGGCATAACATTAGTGCTCTATCACAACAGCCACAGTGCCCCTTCAGCTTTTTCTAAGTACTTTTTTGGAGATAAGGAGTCTCACAAGACTTTCCTGGCTGTGCTAGCTCTGAACAATCCTCAGGATTACAGGTATGAGCCACCAGTGCCTGGCTGAGAGGGATGTTTTTATGCTCTAGTTTATATTTTATATAAAAAAAAGTAATGGCTATACTTGTACAATTTTCTAAATTGTCATCTAAGTTTTCTAAGACCCACATTCAATTAAAACATACATAATCTAAACTAGTGATTATGAGATTTTCCATTCTATTTCCACTTAGCAGTTCAGAACTTAAAAAATGACCATACTTGCAAAAAAAAAAACCCAAAATACCAACAAAAAACAATGCTTATTTTCCTAACTCATGATCGTAATCTTAGCTACTCAATAGGAGGCTGAGATCTGAGGATAACAGTTCAAGCCAGCTGGGGCAGAAAAGTTCCTGTGAGATTCTTATCTTCAATTAACTAATCAAAACCCGGAAGTGGCACTGTGGCTCTAAATGGTAGAGTGCTGGCTTTGAGGAAAAAGAGCTCAGAAACAGTGTCCAGATCGAGTTCAAGCCTCACAACTGGTCCATGCCCCCTGCGGGCCCTCCCCCGCTCCCCCCTCCTCCGGCCAAAAAAAATACGGTTAAAAAATATATTTTTTTGAGCTGGGCACCAGTGAGTGGTTCACACCTGTAACTTTAGCTACTCAGGAAGCTGAAAGCTGAAGATAATCATAGAAGCCAGCCAAGGTAAAGTCTATGAGACTCTTATCTCTAATTAATGACCTGAAAAAAGATGAAATGGAGCTGTGGCAAAGTGGTTCAGGAACTATGCCTGGACCCTGAGTTCAAGCTCCAGGACTGGTACTAAAACCCAAAAAAACACAAAACAAAAAAACAATCAAAACCTTCGTTCCTCTTCTGAAAAATTAAGGTCAATAAACACTACTGAGTTCAATGAAGGGTAGTTGGAGGAATCCTAATGTACACAACCTGTACATCATTATTTTCCTTAACATACCAATATGATGCAGCAATTATCTACTACTTTTAGATTTTATATGATACAGTAAAGGTAAAGCTAATTCAGCAAAAATTACTGTACATACCAGGTTTGAAAGATTCCTCTTTCCAGGTATGATATCATTCTGTTTACTTTGTTCCTGCCTTGGTTTACATTTTCTTTCTACATTAGATTTTAGGGAAAGACTGCTTGTTTCTGAAAAAGAGTTTTCTGAGTTGACTCTCTGCTCCAGCTGTTCCTTTCTCAACCTCTTTAGTTCTCGTTCTCTGCAGTAAGAAGCTAGTGATGACTGGAACTTAGCTCCCAGTGGACTTTCTCCTGGGTGGTGTCTTGATAGGCTGCTTCTGCTACTAAGACTTCTGGGGCTGTTCTTAAAGATGTCAGCCCCTGTAGTCTGCTTTTTGGAGTCTGCACTAGTCTTGCATCGATCTCTATCATTCTTCTCCCTGCTATTTTCATGTATGAACAGTGATTTCCTTCGTTCTGGAGATCGATGATGTTTTTTCTTCAGTGCCTTCATGTCCTTTGACAAATATGAAGACGGAACATAGATATTTGTTCCTTTGGGTAAATATTTGGAGGCCAGTGACACACAAGGCCGACGTGACTCATGCACACTAGGATCTTTACGGTGCTCCTTAACACCTTTCATGAAAGCTTCTAAAATAGGGCTCTTTTCAGACGACACCTTTTTGAGTTTAGATTTTTTTGGTGAGGATAGTTTCCTTTCAAATTGCTCTGTTCCAGAGATGGGCAATCTACTTCCTTCATATTTGATGTTTGATTTTTGTGGAGAATCCAACATATGTCTGTCTAAAATAGCCAATTAAAACATACAAATTATGTTATTAAAAATAAGCCACTGCCTTACTTAATCATCAATGTTTAAAATACTGTATTGAAGTTACCACAAGAAAATTCAAACTAATATCTGCACAGTGATACACATGGGAGTTATCAAGACATGGCTTATTTGGCAATAGCTTTAGTTTTATAAATCCTTCTTTTGCTACATTACATTCTCTTGCTAATCCCTATAGCTCTGCTTAAAACTTACTGTAACAGAGAATCAAGACAGTTATTGACTATAGTAAATGATATTTTACATGTAAGAATGCATTCAAGAGTGAAGACTGTCTCGAATTTAAACTATCTTTGTAAAAATAAATACATATAGTTCCGACTTACAATTTTGAAAGCTGTTGACTCAAACAAAATTTAGATATGGTATAAAGCTGGCTCCGTCTCTCGTTCTCAAACAGTCCTTATATCCCCGCCCCCTCTCTCCCAACAAAAGTATTAGCAGTACGCATACCTTGTTTTGAAGCTCGTTTGAAGAAATCTATAATTGACTGCTTCCTGAAAATAAAAGCATAGCTAATATGGTATCACATAAACAAATAATAAACCTCAATAATTCAGATTAAGTGGAAAGAAAATCTAAGATTTATAGACTACAGGCTGGATTTCACTATAGTTTAATCAAGCTCACACAATGGCAATTATGCTTTGTTAAGCTGTGCAAGTGTTAAGAATGTAATTCATCATTTTCTGTAAGTTTAAAAAATGAAATCTATAATATTGAAATGTAAAGATTGAAGTGTGAATCTAGGGCATTGACAAGAGCTCTTGTTGAAATGCTTAGCTATATGAAAGAATGGAAAATGTTGACAGCCATCTGATCCTGTTATTTCCAGTGATTGATGCAAAATAACATAGAAACTTGCTGAATGGAGATTATAAAAGTGGAGTAAAACTGACTCTCAGAATGTAACAGCAGATGACAGAATGTATGAGCAATCCAGATGATGTGGGGAGGTGGCTGAAGAGGAACGTGCCAGGCAGAGCCAAAAAATGAAATACTAAGCTCATACTACTAAGATGTTCATCTAAGTAACAGTAAAAATTGGAATGTGCCTTAATTGGTGTTTGATTTTTTTACTAACAATCCTTAAAGATATTTACAAAAATAACACACCACCTAGAAAAACCAAGAACAAGAACAAAAAAGAGACATGAAAGTTAATGAATTAAAAAAAAATGGATTAACTTTTTAAACTCTGTATCCTAAATGGGCACAAAACAAAACAGAACTGCATGACCAGAATAATTGTATTTGTTCATGTAAAGTTGTCAGCTATAAAAAGGGGGTTATACAGAAAGCAAAAATCACTTGTTTTTCAGAGGTGGACTGTAGAATACCAGTTTTTGTAAAGATTTATCCACTATGAGACTTACTCAGTGAAAACCTGAACAATCCAAATTCTAGGCTGAGCTCCCTGTATTTTGTGTATCTTTATACTGGTTTACTGAGGTTACCATGCTTGAGATGTTGACAGAAAACCTAAGTGGTTATGAGATGAATGTGTGTCAGACTATCAAAGAATACATAATTTGTTTACAGAAAATAAATTGGGTAAATTAACTTTACCACAGAGCAAAGTAAGAAATGCTAGACAGTTTGCTAAAGGGAGAAAGATAATACCATTATTGGTGGAGAATACTAAAGAACAAAAAGCTAATTCAAGATGGGATATTAAATATATCTTTACATTCATTATTAAATGTAATAGTATCTTTCTCAAAGTATTAAGAGCTCAAGCTCCTTTTCAATTAATACATCAGAAAAAAAAGGCATTGAGTAAAACATCAGTAACCTGTAAAGATGAAACTATGTATATTATCAATGGTGGTATTATTTTTTAAAATTTGTATGCACAGAAATGCCCATTACTTATAATTGTTAAAAAAAAACAACCAATTTTAATTGCTGCATAGTTATCTGAACTTCTGGGGCCAAATGTTGTGTTAGAATAAAGAACATATTGGATTTCAGGAAAGGGATGACAAATTCTTTATGCAAAGCCTCCAATGGGTTTGGTGCTGCAGCCTGTAATCAAATATATTAGTATTTCTCCAACAAGACTTATGAATATTCACACTTAATGGAATAAAGACCATAAACAATCTTCTATTAGTTTTGACTGCCAAATTAGATGTGGTGCCAAAACTTACTAAAACCTTTTAGTTTTCAAGCTTCTCGGCTTCCATAATTAAGGTGACTGTGGACTTGTACCACAATGGAACATAAATTCACCGTAAAACTTCTGTTACAAGCTTTTAAAATAAAAGACAGTACCCAAGTGGTAGAGAATTTAAACATGTTTTATTTTAAGAGGATGTGATTTGATGAATTCATCTCATGACATAGTCCCCGCAAAGTCTGTACAAAACTGGTCTCTTGGAGAGGTAGAAAGTTACTGCAAGAGAAAAACAATCACATTTCAAGTATGCATGTTCTTTTAAGTATGAATTATCGTGTACCCAAGACCACAGAGAAATTCTTGGGTTTCTCTCTCGCATCTTACATAATTTCACCTAGAATATAGAAATGGTTCATACTACCACATCACTCGGATCATAACAGAACACCTAAGAAAATTATCCTAATATCCATCAAATAGGTTGGGTCCCAGGCCAAGTTTTCTAACATGACAAAAATCACATTCCACCTGAAGGCAGGCTCTCCGTAGCCACTGCCAGGCTGGTGGTCGGTCCTTCACTAGACCCAGAGTAGCTCCCCAAATACACACACACAAAAAAGAAAGACTCCAACTCCCATAAGGACCCGCGCGGAGGCGGGACGAGAGCCTGCAGGCCCCGGAACGCAAAGGCCTGAGCTCGCGGAGGATGGCGGGAACTTAAGAGCGGCGGTCCGCAGTCCTCCCTCATACCCTTGCCCCCGCGACCCGGCCCCTTCTCAACCCCTCTGCACGGTACCTGTCCCCAGGGCTCTCTGTTCTCTTTCCCGAGGCAGCAGGGGTGGTACTACCGGGTCTCAGATGGCAGCGCGGGGGCGATGACCCCGGGGCTGGGGATGAGGGGAAACCTGGCCTAGCGGGCATGCAGCGCCTTGTCATGTCGGCGCCGCTGGCGACGGCGGCATGAGCTGTAGCTGGAGAAGCTGGGTGCGTGGTTGCCGTCTTGCTGCTGGGACTCGGGGACGCTGTCGGAGCAGAGGTGGGCGGCACCCCCTTCTCTCTTCATGGCGGTTCTCTCTCTTCGGAAGTGACTCCGGTGTGAGCGGGAAGGAACCTGAGGACCGGCGGGGGCGGGCCTTAAGTGGAGGAGTCGGGCCCTGATTGGCTTGCCCAGTGGTCATTCTGGTGGTGGCGCAATAGAAAGCGGCAGCCCCTCAGGAGGAGGCAGGGCTTCGGGGAAGGGGCGGGGAGGAGGAAAACTGCACTCCCCCGCCAGTCACGTGCGCCGAGGGCGCGCGCCTCCGCGTCGGGGACCCGTCGGCCTTGACGGGTGCGTGGGGGTGGGGGGGTGTGGAGAGGGGAGGAGAAGCGGGGGCGTCGTGGGCACTGCGGCAGCTGGCGACACCCGGCTCGTCCTATGCTAGGGATGAGATTTGCAGAGGCGAACCCAAACCTGCAGCTCCCTCAGTAAGGATGGCCAACATTTGGGCCCCCCGCGTCATGACGATGCCCCACTAACCCCTAGTTGTGCATAATTTCATCGTCACCGAAGGCCAACGTGCCATAATGCTGTCACCATTTCCTCTGTAGTCTATCCCAGTCTGAAAACTTGTGTGTTTTATGAGGTTCTTGTTAAGTGTTAGGGGTAGATCTCTCTGGGTCTTGGTCTCTGTCTCTCTAAGAAAAAAAAAGAAACCCATTGATATGAAAAACAACAACAACAGTTTTCATTCTGTAAAGATGTTTTGTTCTTCTCTAGTTGTTCATGAGGCCCCTGCAGCATGCTCCTTTGGAAATTTTTGAAAGGAACATAGGGTCAGCTTTCAATTAAGTGTGGATAGCATGGATCAGTAAAAGCTGCCAGCTGTCTCCAGTCCTTTGGAAAAGGCTTGTGCTTTGCAAGCTGTCAGCCAAGGATTTCCTTTCTTTATAAGTTGAAAGACTGGTCACAGAATCTCAGCCTCAGTTTCCAAGCCTATACAATTACTCATTTTTCTGCATAATCATAAGCCATAAAAGAAATGTAAATATCTAGATGCTTGCATGTAATTGGTGCTGAGTAAATTATTATTCCTTTCCCTGTATTCTCCAGATACACTGTTCTTGCAGTCAGTTCATTTCTTACAGAATCATCCAGACTGGTTGTGGTGACTCAGCTCAGCTCTATAATCCCAGAACTCAAGGTTGAGGCAGTAGAGAGAGTTGGAACCTAACTTGAACTATATAGGAAAAAAAAATCAGAACGAAAAAACATCTTCCAAGGATAGGAAAAATACTGTTATATTCGGTTAACAATCGCCAAAGGAAAAAAAAATCAAAGCAAAAATCTTTCTAGCACAGGGAAAATGTTAATACTGTAATATAATAACTGTTAATAGCCAAAATGCCACCCTCAAGGGTATGCAAGCCTTAATGAACAGGGATGCTCAATCTGTTGAAAGAACAAAACCCAAAATGAGCAACAAAAATTGGACAAATCTTTCAAGTTTATTGTACTAAGGATTGAACTAACTGCTTCTGTTGCTAAGCCTACCTCACTGACCAAAAATTCACCTCCTATCTCTTCCATGGCAGCCCTGGGCAGAAAGAATTAGCAAGATTAAAGTGGTCAACAGACTGGCAGAGGGGAAGGTAGAAGGCAAATTGTGAACATACTCTTCTCTGATTCAGCCAGAAAGCTTCTATGTACAGGAAGCTTCTATGTGAGGTAGTGATACTACAAGAAAGGAAATACCAAAATAAAGGGCTTTTATTTTTCTAATAGCTGAGAAATTAATGCTGTTGTAAGCATTGTTCCTTACATATAAAAGAACATAACAGGTGCTGAAAATGTGTTGAAATGAATGGCATGAATTTGTTTATTAAGGCCTTTTTCATGTATTCCCTATCCCGATTTAGTGCTTTTTATTGACTGTTTCTACATAAAGAAGTTCCTGCTTCTATAACATTATATCTACAAAACATTTAATCTGATTCATTTCCTTGCATGCTCAGTCCATAAAGAAGAATAATGCATAAAAGCATGTTCTGCATGATCAATTAGTTGCTTTTTTTTTGATGATAGCATTTGAATCATCCAGCCTCCAAGGTATCACTTTAAAGTCTGTACTCATGCTACCTAACAATAGTTTTCACATTTTCTTAATCTAAGCAACAGATTATGGAGTTAAGTGAGGCAAGAAATCCCTTGATCAATAAATGGAGATGGAGCCATAATGAAAACACAATTTTAAAAATCTCTTCTTAACAGGGAAGTAGTTATCTAAATCCTCAATAAGCATCAAGGCTCTTCTTTGTTTAAGCTGCATAGGAAAAATGATAGAGATTTGTGCTGCAGGGTGAAAATACGTTCAACATACTAACCAGAAAGTTGAGAGT